GTCTTTTACGTAAGCCAAGCTTATTTTATTTTGCATCTTCGTGGAATCGGGATTATGAATAAAGAGTTTATGCGTCTTCATCATCGTCGCGAGCCTACTAATTCTCGGCTTCCTTTGATCGTCATGGGTAAGCTCTCGTCCTCTGATTGCCAGTTGGCCGCTGTAAACGACGTTGTAGAGCTCATTTTTTGTATATTTAAATCCATGGTGCTCCTCGTACTACGTTGTGTAGCATGGAGCTTGTGTTTTGCGCGTAAATGCATCGTCTTAGCTGCAGTAGCACCTGATATTTAAACTAACAGTGGTCCGTACCACCTAGACTCGGCTGAATAAAGTAGTATGCACGGTGTCTTCTCGATATGTTTGGAGCTACTAGGATTTATATCCTATCATGACTACGCTGTGCAAAATCACCACTTCCATACGATGCATAAACCGAAATTTTATATGAGGCACCATCAGTCGTCATATTTCATTGCGCTTGTCTTCTCTGCTGGCAATCTGAACACATGCTCATTTGGAGAGCCGAATACATACACTGCTATTCTTGTTTTCAGCAGTGGCAGGCGATAATTGGTATAAGTCCGAATAGGCGTGGGCGACCGCGGCCAGTGGTTGACCCGAGTTGCATTACACCAATGGAAATTGCCGAAATCAAAACTGTTGTTCGAGGGGACGTTTCAGCGTCATGTCGGAAGTATCCCCGGTCAGCATCTTTGTCGTCTGAGCTTCTCATTAGACGTTGTTGCTCAGAATTCTTATTCCTCACGGCTTTCGTAGTTCAAATCAATTTTCGAGCCTGTTTTGAAACTTTTTTGTAAAGTCACTAGTTTAGGAGGAGATGTGTTGGCCTGTGGAAGCATGCGTCTGCATTATTCGAGCAGTTGGGGAATCTTTTTTTCGGGCGAAAAAGTGGTTGTTATTAGTAGTTGGAACTTTCAAAGCAAATTCAATTATGAATTTTAAATTGTTTCAGTAGTGCACCACGTTTAGTCTTCCTGTGCTTCGTTCTGTCTTCAGATATGGTGCGAAACATACATGGTGCCATTAGGATTAACGAGAGCCATCCGTACGTCTTCGAGAATTTAGGCAAACTGATTGTGCAGTCCTCTCAAATTCTCTTGAAACTGTATTGCTTTCTGTCGCGTTATTCTTTTATACAGCCAGGAAATTCTGTTTGCACTTGTGAATGTCTTGGATTTTCTACCCTCGCTGTTAAACTTTTGCGCTTTTGCTTCTATAAGATATTTAAGGTTAAGGTGCGGCGAAACAGTGTTTGGCGGAATTCCGATGATTAACACTCTGAGGAAAGACCGTGCAAGTCTGGAATGTGAATCATCACGAACGGTGCGCATCCCGGAAACTTGGACACCTATCCCACAGGTGTAAGTATCCAGTTTTCGTTTAACTAGTTAGAGGACGAACTTTGGGAACAAACTTTTGCTTACCTTTTTCGTGTTCTTTCACTCTGTCGACGATACTTATACTGCTGCTCACTGGAGGCTTCGACCATCAAGTTCAGTGAGGATTTTTAGCTGTCTGGCTTTTCCGCAAATACGTCGGCCCAGACTGAATCACTGTCTGACTTTGCGGCGTCCTCAACAAACAAGTGCAATTCTGCACTATGCACTTACTTGGCAACATAGTTTTCGTTTAGTTCTTTGTCTGGATCTCTGTATGGAACACAGTCTGAGCAATGTATGCAGCATACAGCAGCTTCCAGTATGAGGAGGTCCGATTCTGCAGAAGTGAGTGATCGAAATACATCTACGTGCACGAATGGTGAGCGTTTACCTGATAAAAAAAATGGTATTTTAATGTTTTTGAGGACCGCCGATACCCAAATTTTCATCCCTCTGATCTTTTAAGATTATCATGAGGAAATTTTTCTGCCTTTCCCTTCGCTCGGGGTGAGGTATGTTCGGATCGTTTTTGAAAGCTTTGATTGCAAATTCAATGTATTTGATTTTGCTGAGGTATTCTTATGCCGAAAAGGTTCTGTAGAAATTTGGTATCCGACAGATTTTCAGCTTCACCATTTTGTGGGTTTTAAACCTCAGAATTGTGCCTTTGCGTTTCTTTTACTGTGTAGCAAACCATCATACAGAATTCTGCGCACAAAGTGTAATTCGTTTGAAAATCACAGTGTTGCCTTCCGAGCAGGGTGAAATGGAAGTTGCAGAACTATCTTCCTGGTTTGATTCGATCTCGTGGGGCGGGCTGTTTACATGCCGTCACCTTTTATCCGGCCCTGCTTCGCTTGTCCGGAGAAGCTGTTTCCAGTGATTTTTACAGACAGCTTGATGAGACCGTTAGTTTTATAGGAAATAGCATAAATCATGGCGGCTTAGGTTTTCAGGGATCACACATGCTTGCCTGTGTGTGGAATGGGCATGTTTTTTGGCTAATCCGAACTATTACTGTATATTTAACCACATCGCATATCATTAGCTATAGTTTCGAATTTCAAATCGGTTACACGTGACGAGCGGCTTACAAATAGCAGCCCCACATGAATACGGAGTTTACTGCGGGTGGGTAAAATTCGTTTTTTCGTTCCGTAGAAGTTCTTAATCTGGTAGTTAGAGATTCTCTAGAACTGTCGGAGCCTCCTTTTTATTTCGTTATAAATACTGGGAAGGAGTTTTGCGTGTGCAACCATTGTTTTTTGTATACTAGTGCCCAGGCAAATCGCCATGCATTTTATATTGAGACACAATAGTTTGCTCATTGAAGGCATGG